CGTCTGTTTACGCGCAAATGAAGTGGTCTCCCCGTTTCGCCAATATATTCCTCCCCATGCCTTACATATTATTGAAGATACTGTGCCGAAACTCATGCAATCCCCCTCCCTCCCGTTGGGGCAAATTTTACAGTTTGCTGAGTGACACAATCGATCATAAAAGTGGTTGCGGACCAGTTGACGGCTAAGGTTGGGAGAGGGAGTCCGATTACCGGTGCTACTGGACTTTCAAGACCACTTCTTTAAGGTACCTCTTAATAGCGCAACCAGCTTCGTTTGATATAATAGACAACATAAAAGCGATCTTATTAGGCTACGAGGTTTTGTTTTTATTTTGGTTTTGGGGCCTGACCTTATTAATTGAATTGACCCAAGTGGCTGATGGATCTTAATCGTAGCCGTTAGACATGGCTAATTTCCGTGCCAAGTTAAGCGACTCTTCTCTCTCCTCTTCTCCTGTGCACACATTACCAGCTATTTGCTATATGTTTTTGGTGAGTGCTTTTTCATGTGTGATGGATGAGAGGAGAGGTGGTGAACCAACAAATTTTTGCTACTTGGCTCACGGTACCATTTTGTGGTATGGCCACTTTCTAAGAGTTTTACTTGGGTGTTTAAAAATGGTAGCCAATCCCCTTTTGGATTTTTCCTCGTGAATTCAATAAACTCTGACTGCCTATTTAAGACCTCAAAACATTTGTCCATTTCCTCTTGTGTGGAACAGACAACAAAAAGCCGTCAATGTATCGGTAGTGGAGTAGGGGCCAGCGAGTGAGGAGTTCAGCTTCTTCTTGTTGAAGTCACATGTCAAAGATATTGATGTTTTGTTCATTTTCCATGAACAATTCAGGAATGGCCTGCATTGCAGAGTTGTTGTTTCTTTAATATGAAGTGTAGTGACATCAAACGACTCTATTACATGTGAGTTGTTTAACTGCATGCATCGCTGTGCTCCAGGAAGACTTTTGCGCTGGGTAAACGGATTGGAATGAAATTAACAAGCTGCTTTTGAATGAGATTCAAAAACCAAGATGTTTCTCATAGTAAAAATTTTTTTTGAAGACTTATAGCGCTGGCAAACAAGGCCTAGAGTACAAATATCGGTTTTCGTTGCAGTAAAAATAACCCCGGAAATCCTTTCGTATCAAACGAAGTTAGTTGAACTATTAAAAGGTGCCTGAAAAGAAGTGGTATTGAAAGCTTGCTAACAGTAATGGAACTCCCACACCCAACCCTACGCCGTCATCTGGTCCTAAACCGCTTCTATGATCGACTGTGTCACTCAGAAAACTGTAAAATCTGCTCCAACGGGAGGGAGGGGAACTGTATGAGTTTCGGCACAACATCTTCAGTAAAAAGTGAGGCATGGGGGTGGAGGAATATATTGGCGAAACGAGTATATCACTTCACTAGTGGATATAAAAACGATCTAGATGGGAAATCTAATACCGAAAAAGGCAAATATTTAGGTTTACATAGGGCACAAAAGCATAAAAATAATGATTTTGATGTAACTATCACGACCTTGGCGCGGGAACCCAAAATATCAATGCGTAAAACCCTCGAACAGTTTTGGGCAAACACTGAAAATCCAAAAATGCATCGTAAAGACATATGCATCACTGTAGTCCGAGACCTGGCACCTTACATCAGCCTAATATTCTGACTTGATCCAAGGGGCGGTGCTTAGGCATCGATCTGGTTACGACTCATACAAATATTAATAACAGGGTACGTCCAGGCTCTGAAGCAGACGGTGTCGTCGAAACGCCAGCCATTCGTACAGCGACAATACCAACATCGTCTACCAACCTCGCGCCAACTAAATAGCTAAGTTTTCATACTTGAAATAATTTCTTAATTACCTGAGAAGATGTGTCTAGCCTTTTTGAGGTCGATTTGTGAGTGGCACACGTACGTTTCAGCAGTCTCACTCGCTTCATCAGGGCCACATGAACCATCCGTCACATCGCCAAAGTTTTCGTATCTCTAATAAGTATTAGCTCTAAATGAGACATGCTCCCTATTTACTGTACCGTTCATTGAGAAATTCCGTCAAAAGACTTTCCAAAAGATCGTAAATTTCCACGGAAATAAAAATCGTATACAAGAATGTTTTGGGTGGCCGACTAGTGAAGTTAATAGTGTTACTTATCCAAAAGTTATTTCAGGATCTGAGTCTTCTTTTCCACACCAAACATCAAAAAGAGAAGTTTTGTAATATTGCTTCAAAAGATTTGCACAATAGGAAAAGCAGTTAGTTTGATCAAAGGAACATTCTCGCTTTCGTTAAGGTAGAGCAAAGAAAGGTGTGCTTTTGTCGTAGTTACCATCAGCGAATTTCTCGAAGATACGCTTCAGAGTTTTGCACAAAATTCTTTCATAGTGGAAAAGACCGTTTCTTACTTATCTGAGACAGCACATTTCCGCTGACTGCATTCTATAGATCTATACTGAATTTGGAACTATAAATCGTAAAGGAATACATCAGTGGCTGTCCAGAAACGATATTTAATGTTGCATTTCAGAATGTTTCTTCCACTGCTTGTCATCTGCATTATTGGCATTATAGCTACAGAAGCCAGTTAGTCAGATTTTCGTTATGAAACATCAATTACGACTTATGTTTGCACCTTCAAAGAGTGATTATGGTGAATGCGCGAATGAGAAATCTTGACAATCGCTCTAAATTCAGAACCAAGCGCTCCTAATGCAAGGGTCAAACGCTGGGCCAAATTGTGTTGCTGTGTCGACGATCAATTTGTAGGAGGAAACTGTGGTCAGTTTTAAAGAACTTTTCCAGGCTCCGCTTTTTCCTATTCATCGAAATAGCTCATTCATGTTTACATGAGATGCATTCTTATCAAAGTAACTACATGCATCCACTCCATTTGCATGTGTTATGTTTTTGAGAAATCAAAAATTGTACTAGTTATATTATGAATCAAATATATTGACCGTCTCTTATTGATTCAGTGCTACGAATATACTTAATCTGTAAAGTAGAAATACAAATTTCTCGCAAATATCAAAATCACAAGTACTGCCAAATATTATTACTTGTAATTCTTGTATCATTATTAATCATCATTATTGATGTCATCATTTATGACATATGTTTTTCTATAATTATTTTTTGTAATATTATTTCAAAATTATATTATTGTTTAGTGTTGTAAGATGTCATAATCGCATAATGTCACAAACAATAAACCCAATGATATAAACTGGTGTGAAAAAACTTTACGTCAACTGGGTATCAAACTTAAATCTCACTCTTTCTGGGAGCGCGTACTGAACCGTTGCACTACGGACGCCCATTTTGCATACCACTCTTTCCATGCTACAACGCGTTATCTGTCAACAGCCAAAAGTCTACGGTCTGGCGTGGGCAATCACTATCGACATTGAACCCACTTATGCTGACGGATATTGGGTTTCAATATAGTGCTGCGGTTCAGCACGCGCTCCCAAAAAGAAAGATCTGGGTGCGAATTCCAGCTGACGCAAATGTTTTTGCACACCACTCTACATCATTGAGTCTGTTGTAAGATTATACCACCGTAATACGCGGTCGAACAAAATGAATTCTGATTGATTATAAACAATATTTTCTTCAAATTAAGCGAGTTTAGCGAACTTTACTTCTAAGCATTCCAATGGTCCGTCTTCACACTGTCATTTTTTCATTGCGTGGATCCCAGTACTGCTATCATTCAACTCGTTTTTATTTTCGTCTTCTTCATAAACGTCGTAGAACACTAGTTGAGAGCATCTCTTTGCAATTTCGAGGATAGCCTGGCCGTGACGTTTCATAGGGCGTTCGTTGTAGACTGCCTGCAAGTATTGGGAGGTGAAGTTCGGTCCCACGCGCGCTCCGACGAGCATCACTCGGCAACGGCGCCTCCTTAGCGATAGTATGATGTTACAAATATATCTAATAATATTAAGTGATATCCAGAATTCCAAACGTCAGGCGGGAGCTGGACTTGCAATTCACTCTTTTAAGTGCGCGTGCTATCAATTGCATTACGATGCCGTGTGTGACTGCCAGGTCATACCGTTGACTGTGGTTGCTGACATCGATACTTTGTGTCGAAAGGGAGGGCAGAACGAGAGTCGCTAGCGCAATTGGTTAGCACTCCCTCGTTCCTCTCCGAAAAAGGTAAAATGCGACTTCGATTTCTGTTCTACACTCAAAGTCTGCATATCACTCAACACTATCGGTATTATATTGTCTTTTTGTCATAATGTTATATATATATATATATATATAAAATTGATAAAATATATATTTAATGTAGCATTTTGTTATTGACTTGATATCATGTATAATATTGTTATGGTAAAATAATGCCAATAATAACACATTGATAATGTGATATTATAGTAAGACTAATGTTGATAGTAATATTATGGATGTACTTTAGTCATCGGTAGTCATTTCCTCTTTTTTGGAAACTGTGCGTAATCTGCTTTTTTCTAGAGTAATAGTAGTCACTCGATAGTTCAAATCTCGACAAATTCTGTATTTTATTCCATTACTGAAACGGCCTTCTTAGGACGCTGTAGTGGTAAAAATGAAATCAAGTTCGGCGCGTTTTTTCGCTGAACAGAATTTTTCCCTAGATCATTACTGAATATTCCGTAGCGTACATCTTGATAATTCCAACACTGACTCCTTTCTGAAAAGATCATTTCACTGCGATAGCAGAAAGTATGAGGAGGACTTCGTACCGATTGTGCGGTTGATGGATCACGCAACGCGATCTTCATTATCAAATTTAAGGTTTTTTTGGCTTGAAAGAAAGCTCAGACAAGAGATATGACTTTTATTTCTCTTACGTTCATATGCATTTCGTGCCTACGTTTCATACGATCCAGACATATTGGAGGGTTCATTTGGTACCATGTGATGAAATTGAGAAGGTTAAGCTCACAGAGTAATAAAAAGTTTCTTTTTTATATACCTAAGAGAATTGAGTGGTAAGCAAAAATACGACCTTAGACGGGAGTCGAACCCGCGTTTTATCTATACCGGGGACGATTGCTACCACTACACCACAGAGGTACATTCGGGCCATCACTAATTCCTCATGGGCTGACAGCCATTGTGATAGATATTACTCGAAATTTTCAGTGATTTTACTTTACTTTCCGCAGTGTTGTGATATCTTATACATACCTAAGGGAAATGCATGGTGAGCAAAATGTACCTCGGTGGTGTAGTGGTAGCACGCGTCCCGGTATGGATAAGACGTTGGTTCGACTCCCGCCTGAGGTAGCATTTTTGCTTACCACTCGACTCTTTTAGATATGTATGAAACATTGTGAGACTGAGAAAATTCAGTAAAAACACTAGAAATTTTAAAGTTCTTTTTTTCTATGATTGCGAGGTGAAAAAAAACTGACGATTCTCTGCGAAAAATCATTTGACAAAGAACGGAAATACGTAAGATAACGAGCCCTAGTATGGCATGCAATTATGTTTTCTTTGCTAAAGCGTTGTTGGAAGGATTTTTTAAAAATCAAGTACAATTTTAAAATCAACGAGATATAAGCTTTTAAATGGTTATTGCTAGTCTGCCGTCCTTGTTCAGCGAAAAAGGCTCCGTAAAAAAACGATTACCGAAAACCGTAGGTGCCTCACTTTTTTATCATGTTATCAAAATATTATCTTAAGATCACACCAATTTTAGATATGTATATATCGCTTTAGGATATCATTGGGGTGACGAGTGTCCCGCTGGAAAGGTCGAACTCGACAGCGAATTTTTCTGCTGAAGATTGTGGAGACACACACGTCCATGTGTTGCAGTGACGTTGAATATTTGCAGAACTTCTCTGTCAAAAGTATTAAGTAGCTTACAAAATAAAGCAAAGACGACTGTACTGTATATAACTGGCACATAACTATAACAGATGACATTTATTCATCATCCAACTCTAGTCACTTCCACTAGCGGCGTACTGGTTCCAAAAATTCAGATTCATACAAATAGGTGTAGTTTATAGGAATTTTGCCGCACTGACTGAATAACATAATACATGGTGCTGATGCCGCCTCAAGCGCTTCTGGAGTTGTAATTTCTGTGGTCAATATTTGTTAGATTGATCCCACCACGCTCAAAGTTATTGGGTTTCTTTTTTTTCATCAAAGGACAAACACCTGCAGCTGTTCTCTACTCTGTCAAACTTCATCTCTATTGCAACGTTGACATCTAATTACTCCCTGACTACTTTTAATTTGCATAGAAAGATAAGCTGCGACGTCTCTAATACTGCCTTAGGCAAGGCGACGCACTTAACGCCATCCATGAAAGCGGAAATAAACTTTGTGGAGCATTTAGTAGCAGAGAAGTTGGAGACGTTATCGATGTCATCAGAGCGGGTTTAGACATAAACATCGATTCATTCGAGCAACTAACAATCAGAAACGGGGTGCATACCAGAGAGGTGATACAAATTCATGGTAACCTCGATCATCTTCGTCGCTTCACATCTTAGATACGACATTGATTCTTCGCTCGGTATGCGGAGGTCACCTCAAGGTAGCTCTCATATCTTATCTTGATCAGGTCTGCCAAGGAACTTGACAAGCTGGCAGCATCGCTTTATTGCATTGTATGAAAGCATCACTGAATTGTGACAAAAAAACGGCAATCTATGAATGAAGTTTTTCGAGCATTCGCATTGGTATCAAATAGTACAGAGTTTATAAGAAGTAAAAGGCTGATCTCGTAATTATTATTTGGCCAGCATGTCATGTGGTCTATTGAATGGGCTAAGACCCCCATACACGTTTCGATCTTGACGGTTTCGTCAGTCTAATCTAGCAGACCACATGATATGTTGTCTCAAATAATAATCACGAGATATGTTGAAATTTGAGCGTGATCTTGAGATTACACTCGAAGGAAAAGTATGATATACTAATGATAGCGGACAAAAAGCTGATTTTTGAGATATCAAAGAAGAAGGAGGAGAAGGTGACAATCAGAGGTAAGGTGAGAAAGAGTTACTGTGACGATGAAACGCGAACAGAGCATGCGTAGATGTTAAAAACATGTCTTTTATGAAATATTACCTTCATCACCTTCAATCCTTCCAACATAAGTCGAATGGCATGATCACTATATTGTCCGCGCACGATTGAAGTCTTTTAGGCTTAGTTCGTCAAAGTCGCCCTTCTATGCTTCAAAATTTTGGTACAATAGCACGCCGCATGAAGCAGTGTCTTATTTAGCTACTGTAAGGCGTCGTAGCGTCTCGGAGCAAGGTAAACAAGCGGCATCTGCCGGGACGAAGAATGTTCAGATGATGTCGGCCTACGACTGCCGCACAATGACTACCGCGACGCCGCTTCCTATCAACAGCTGTCGCCAAAGCGTTAAACGGGTCACAGAGTGTTTAGAATCAAGCGGTAAGCGTATCGTTCTTGGTGTGTTGATTAGCGTTAAGAGTGGGTATTAATAAATTTATCTCACGCGCGCGAGTTCCCAAGTTCACCTCGTTTATGAGGTACGAAACACACCAGACCTCAGTCATGGTCCTTTTTACTCTTATATTGGTAAGAATGTGATGAGTGACGATCAGATTGGCAAGTTTCATAGCTTTAATTCATGACTAGTTGCGTTTTTGAATGGAAACGTCGAAACCATCAACATGCTGGTTCTGACAATAGCCGTAAACCGCAGTTCAGTGATGAAGACAGCAATCCTTTTAACTACGAAAAAACCTTAGATTAATCATTCGAAAACGAAACGAAACATATATAATATCACAGTTGGAAGCGGCGATTCAAAAATCTGTATGACACTTCACACTCTCAAGAATTCGCCTACAAAATTAGCGATCACTGCACGGCATAAAAATCGCTAAATTAACACAATATGCTTATTGCCCGATTAGCCGTTTTCCTCACAAAGAGAAGCTGTCATTGAGAATTTAAACTCAGACGGATTCCTGTTAGTAGATGCCCGATCTACTCATGCCAGACATGATGAACAATCCTTATAACACCATTTTGAGTAAGCTCTAATCGCATAATTTAGGAATTTGTACAAGAAGCGACATTGTCGCCATTTCATACAAGTTGTTATAGAATGAAAATGAAAAACGTACTGCGATTCATCTAACTGGCCTCTGTAGAACAAATGATGCAATAGAGATTATTTCAGATGTGACAAGTTGGAAGTTGTAGGAAGGTTGGAAAAGTGATATTTACCTTAGAAACAAACATATCTCTCGATATAACATGTATCATTAAATAAATTGTACGGCATGAAGTTCAAATAAGTGTGAGAGTAATTACAAATTAATTAGCTTAACAAAATTAACCGTCGTATATGAATTTCGCTTCAATCGATCAGCTGAGTTGCGTGGTCGACCAAGTCGTTCCGAGAGAAGATTATTCAGAGTATGGAACATAATTTTCTCATCGCTCTCAAAGCGCTTTATGGAAAGCTCCTCAAAATCAAATGTAGTTACATCTGATGAAAAGTCATTTACAAGCAGTATTCCGTGGGGGCAAAGTACTCCAAGCGCCTGCGAAATTTGAGCTGCCGAACTATTACCAAAGTTGTAAGGAAAAGTAGAAAAGTGTCCCGGTGTCAAAGGAGAAATTGATTCGTGTTAACGAATTTGTATTGAGAACTCCCTTTTGATATGAAAAGACAACATAATAAATTTTAAAAGATTTGTCACCCTTTGAAGGTGGTGTGAACACTATGCTGTGCACTCATATTGAAAGCCCGTTTTTTGTTGGATGGAGTTTTCATCAACCTTTTAGTGATCATTCGATAGTCCGCTGTAGCAATGAAAAAAGAGATTTTTCTTACTTTCGAAATTTTGTGCTTAGCTGGTAGATATCTGCTTAAAGCTTTTTGTCAAACTTTTAAACCTATTCGATGGCCAGAATTCGATAACTCTGAATATTCACAAAAAATTTTTGAAGAAAGCTTTGATAGAGCGGTGTAGGAGTAAGGAGAAGAAACGTTCAACACGCAAATTATCAATGGTTATGAGAGTTCACATGCACAAATGGAACGGAAGACAATCTTATGATAAGACATGGAGCATCAGTGCAGTCAAGGTTTGTATCTTTGATTCTGGGAGAAACGATCTCTTGAATCGCTTCTTTTCAGCAACATATATCGTAAGACTAAATGAAATGAACATATTACATCGCGCTTGTCCCGATAATCGTAATTGTAACTCAAATATCTGCATATCGAGTTCGCTAAGAAGTCCGGAGAAGGGTTTTCAAAAATACACTGCCCTTCTGAGTACACTCAAATAATAATAAGATTCTATCCGTAACTTTACTGCGAGGAAATACGTCATTGGTTGAACGAGATTACTCGTGTATTTGCAATACACCAAAAATGAAGCAGTAATGAACGAAATGATGACATTCAATTGATTTGCCTATTCTATTGAGAACGAAAGAGCAAAAGTGAAAAGCGCGATAAATGAAGAGTTGTAAACCTGCCAATAAGCACTTTGAGGCTGCTAATGTTGATTCAAAATTGCAAATGTATTTCTGAATTAGCTAAATCCATCAAAACTTCATATGCAGACTATGCGCTTATTAGCCGATCCCATATCCTCACGTACACACCAAATCACGCCTTGCTCCCGTACTCTCCGAAAGTGGTGGGTATGAGAGGTGTGTGTACAGTGGTGGCTAATTGACTCGGCACCGCTTACCAGCCATCTGAAGAAAATTCGTTTTTTCTGAATGAGAAAATCAAGGAGATATTCAATCAATGCCGAGGTTAACTGGTAGTCGGTCATAGGTGTTGACGGAAGAAACATGACTGTTGTCGTGTGACTCATCGCAGTGTTATCTCTAAACAACCCTGCTTTTCATCTTTACGTCCCGAGGCACAAGTGGCTGCTACGAATATTTTTTTCTTAATGAGAAACAATTACTGAGAAATTTACAGCGCAGCGTTAGATATTTATCCAGAATAAAATATGCAGGAATGTTTCGAAGTGGGTGTGAGAACAGAGAAGCGGATGCCAAGTTCTGACCCAGAAAAAAAATTTTAACGAGGACGGCTTAATATCTATTCATTGATTTTCTCGTTGCTGTCTTAACTCGCCCAACACTTCCAGAGCTCTCCTGAATCTACTAACTATATATAATGCTGTAAATAAGACAGAACTCATGACCTTCAATGAGCTTAGAAGAAATATGAAGTAGATAGTCAGATGAACACATTACCTCTGTCATAAATTCAAGTACATGCTTAGAATCAACATAGACATTATTCAGTG